ACACACACACACACACACAATTAAGGTCTTAAGGTCTCTGCCCCGCCCCACTCGCACAGAGACCATGACCCACAAACCTCCCACCCACCCATGCACACCAAACGATAACATAAAGCATCACAAACGGACGCTTCAATGTCCAGTAGGCGAAACTGCAAGGACAACTGACCGCTAAAGAGGGGTCAAGCCGACGGACTAGCACAGGCAGCCGTCTGTTCACCTCGTTGGTATTAGTTTTTTTAGTATGAGTTTTTCGCCTTTAGGCACTTGCAACACAATTAGGTCACACAGGTGCCGAAGATTTAGAGGTGTTACTAGAGAAGAACATACTATCCATATATGGGTTTACGTCTAGGCTATGTGAGTAACTCAGATAGCCTAGGTTTAAAGTTTAAGGCCCAAACAACGAACTTTTTGCACTATAAAATCCAAACCAGGGCGAATAAGTTCTGTTTCTGTACGAATTTTACGGCCCTTGGAATACGATCATATCATAATATAAGTGCCGAAAATTAGCGGTGGTACTCGAGAACAAGAAACACAAAAAGGAGGAGAGATGAGGGCGGTAGATGCTGAATGTTTAATCGGAAAGAAGCAGCAAACCTCGCCAGAGCACCCGCCAACCACCCTCAGCGAACAAGTGCTAGCTCAAGATCCCTCACAGTGATGTGATAAAGAACGCGAGGAATTGCACACAAGACATCGGTTAGTGGGGCGATTAGCGGGTGCTCTGGTGTGGTTTGCTTCTTTGTTCTCCTACCAAACATCTGTCGTCCTTATAAAAATCTTTTCTCTCCCTTCTGTTCATTGAATGTTTCTCTCAAATAATACATTTTGTACTCTCATTTTCGGCACTTGTATCATGACTTATTTGTGTTGCAAGAGCAGGATAACTGTTACTAAAAACCAAAATATAGAATGAGCCCTTGCTCGCTGGCACTAGATCTAGATTCCTTTGGCGTAAAGTGATCATGTTTCAAAATTTTGAGTCAATGTAATAATGGTCATTTAGAGCAAGGGAAAACTAAAACAGACGGGACAGAAGGAAAGACAGACACAGAGACAGACAGACAGACAGACAGACAGACAGACAGACAGACAGACAGACAGACAGACACAGTAGGAAGTACCAATGGCGCACTGCAAGCACCCACAACAACATGGGGAAAAAACACCATAAAAAACCCAAAAGTGTATATTATGAAAAACAGTCAAACGGACGAGTAAAAACAGGAAGGCAGCTTATCACACGAATTGAAGATGAGAAAAAAAAATACCAAACAAACCGAAGATCAGAGAAACGAACACACGATAAAGGAATAAACAATTCGGTTTTTTTTAGTTTTAGAAAGCGTTGTACAACACTTGCAACAACACAATTAGGTCATAATATAAATGCCGAAGATTAGAGTCAGAGGTGTCACAAGACAATATAACAAAAATGAAAAAGAATGAGGAGCGATCTATTTATAAGGAAGATAGCCTATAGATGTCTGAGAGGGAAAAAGGAGCAAACGACACCAGAGCACCCACTAAACACCCGCAAGCAAACAAACAAACCGAAAATCTTTTTAAAAAAAAATTAAAACGGACAATAGACCAACAGTAAATTTAATGTAGGTACAAAACAGACGATAACTATACAAAAAACAACAAATAAAATTATGTATATAAATATAGACACTCAACACACGATACCTAGAGATACCAAAGACTCGGCGAAAAAATCCAAAAACCAAACAAAAAATGTATTTAAAAAAAACAAGCCCAACAAACGATTACTGTACTACATTTGACAAACAAACAAACACACAAACTAACAAACTATAAACAAACAAATGTATAAGCCCAACACACGCAACCTCTATACCATTGACAAACAAACACACAAACAAACAAATAAAAGAACAAATGTACCAAAAAAACAAGTCCAACAGACGATTTCTAATACCACTGGCAGACAACAACAAAAAACAATGTATAAACAGACAAGCCCAACTCACGATTACTTTACCATAAACAAGCAAACAAATAAATAAATCAAACAAACAAAACAAAACAATCAAACACGGTGGCACGGCGCACATAGCGCACTCCACCTTTGTCCCTATCCTACCTGGCGAGTGTGGTTGGCGGCGGCACAGGAGAGAAGGCAGAATGAGGCACTGGTTTTATCCAAGGAATTTGACACACAAAGAACAAACTATCACAGAAACTCCCGGGGCTGAGTCAGTCAGCTGAATGGATGGATGGATGGAAGGACGGACGGGGCCGATGGACGGGTGGGTGAACGGTTGGCTCCTTCCTCTTCCTCTTCCTCTTCCTCTTCCTATCTCTGCTGGAATTAGCCAACTGAATAACAACAACACTGCACTAACTAAATCACTGATTATACACCACACTGCACTGAAGTGAAGTGAAGATCCGAACTCCAGTGCTACAGCCAGTAGTACGTTGAGCCTTCAGCAACACTCGTCATAGCCTGGAGGGGGG